TCCATGCGCCAGTGCCCCACTGTACCGTGGGCCACCCACGTTGGCCTCGAAGTTCGAGCAGGCAGTGCAGATCCTCGGTGGTATCAGTCTATCGATACCCCCAAGGCCTTCCCCACAGTGGACAGGCCCAGGATACCACCAGACCCCAACAGCAAGACCGCCATTAAGAAACGTAAAGCAGCTGAAGCTCGAGCAGCTCGTCTTCGCGATCTACCTCCTGAACTTGAACAAGCAGCAGCACAGCTTCAGCCACAGGTCGAGCCCGCAGCGCTGGATCCTATCTCCTACGCCATCCCGCTGGACTTGTGGCAAAAGCAATGGCAGGAGGCGTTGCCCACACCTTGCAAGCAGCCGCACGCGCACTTCGTGTACCGACACTGGGAGCACGACGCCGACCTCCTCAACCTCAAGTACGCCAAATGGGTCTCGGCACTCGAGAACACCATGATCAGCCACCACCAGATCGACCTGAAGGAAGCCGCAGCATACACTGGCCGTGCTCAGGGCTACCAGCTATCTTGGAAGAAGACAGCGGCTGCTCCAGGCCGCGTACACGTACATGATCCACATGCGGAATGGTGGGCCATTACGCTCACCCTCATCAAGCGCTACGCCGCGCTTTTCGACAAGCCTAAGCATACAGCGCTTATGGAGCAGCAGGCCATCATCATCCAGCAGCGCGCCGACCACTTCAACAGCCCCATGCATGACCTCCAGTTCGAGAAGGATGAGGATACCATCTTCCGCTGGTTCGCGCTCGTCTGGGCCCCGCACCTGGACAAGGATGACACCGACGACCTGGTCACTATTACCGCTACCTGGGCCTCCAGAGCCCTCTCGGCCGCCCTCGCCAAGTCCAAGAGGGCCTACGGGGCTTGGCTCGCCCAGCAATGGAAGCACCGTCCTGGAGTATTACACGCCCATGTTAAGCCTGCACCTGTACGTCACATCGAGGCCTACACGTCCAACCTGACCATCGCCGACCCCACCGTCATCATGGACAACAAGAAGCAACAATGGCAGCAAGTCTGGCATGCCACCGAGACCTCCGACGACATCCTCCAGGCCCTGACAAAGGCCAAGGCAGCAGCCGTTCTTCAACCTCTCGAGCCCATCACAACAGAGCAAGTACACCGCATCCACGGCCGCATGCCACCTAGTAAAGCACATGGAGTTGATGCCCTAGGACCTCGCGACCCCCATCGATTGCCAGAACCTGCCGTCGAAGCCTATGCAGATATTCTCAATTCAGTGGAGCAAGCTGGCATCTGGCCGCTACAAATTTCAGGCACCATTGCAGCTCTCGCCGCCAAGAAGGCGGGAGGCGACCGAGTCCTTGGCATGCTTCCACATATGGCCCGACTCTGGTCTCGTATTAGATCTACCGCGTCGGAAGCCTGGACGCAAGGACTTGACGATTTTTGGACTACAGCCATCAAAGGATCCTCAGCTCTCCAAGCCGCTCTACATAGGGCCTTGTTAGACGAGACAGCCTCAGCACTCGGCATTCAGTCCGCGACTTTGCTGCTAGACATCCAGAAATTCTACGACAATATCAAGCTCGCCAACCTGATCATGGTCGGCCTCAACAGTGGCTTCCCTCCCATCATTCTTTTATTGGAGGTGCAGCTCTACCTGGCGCCCAGATTCTTGCGCAGTCGTCAATGGGTGAGCATGCCTATCTTCGCCTCCAAGGGCATCATGGCAGGCTCCCCCCACGGCACTACCCTGGCACGACTTATTTTGTTACCTATTCTTCGACATGCTCAAGCTCAGGCAGAGCTTGCCCAGATGTGGACCTTCGTGGACGACACTGTACTACGAGCTGAAGGTGTCCTACGGGCGTTGCAGAAGCACCTCCCCCGTGCTGCCAGGACGCTCCGCGACGGCCTGAAGGAGTTCGAGTTGCCTATCTCAGACAAGACCGTCCTCATCGGCTCCACACCCAAGGTCCGCCACCTGCTTGCCAAGAAGATGCGACAGTACGACATTCCAGTTACTGCGACGTCCACGGCCGTTGACCTAGGCGTGGACGCCGCCGCGGCTACTCGACGAGCACAAGCCAAAGCCAGGAAGCGTCAGAAGCCGGCCACCGCCAGGTTTCGCAAAATACATCGACTACGGAGCACTGCACAGCAGGCCCGAATTTCCGCTGGCCTGTGGCGCACTGGCGCTCTCCCTGAAGGAGTATTCGGACATCAAGTTCACGGCCTCGCTCGGCACGCTCTCCTCCGCCGGCGTCGTCAGGCCGCCATAGCTGCGACGGGCGCTGCCGCGGGTCGCTGCCTCACCTCCCTCCTCGGCGCCACCTTTGACGGCATGGACCCCGGCGTCTCCCTGAGGATAGAGTTCCTCGAGGCCTGGCTTCAGCATTGGATACGCCACCCGAACACGCACGCCAGGATCATCAGAGCCTGGCCAAGGATCAAGACTACCCTGCTCGCCGCTGGCCCCAAGCTGCGGTGCAAGGTCAAGGGCCCCACTGGCGCGGCCATCGCGACCCTCCTAGAAGCCAGTTGGGAGCCGACCTCCGCTACGACGTGGAGGCGCACGAAGGACGGCTACATCGAGGAGTGGAACCTCCCCTCCGCCGACGACCCTGACCTCCTCGACGCCGACATCCACGCAGTATTGCAAGACCTCAGCGAAGATCTACACCGACTCCTCTGGAGGCAGGCCTCTACACACATCCACGGAGACACGCTTGCAGGAGGCGCAGACATGGTCACTATCCGTATCGAGCAAAGGAGGTTCCTCGCGAACGGCGACTTCAGCGATTGGGCCCTCAACAACACCATCATCAGCGGAGGACAGTGGACCAGAGACCGCCTCCACAACGCAGGCTACCAGATCGACAGGAACTGCGACCGCTGCTGCGCTCGCGCCCCTGAAACCTTGTTTCACCGCACGTGGCAGTGCGATGCGAATGTTGGGCCCGAGTTTGAGGCCAGCGACAAGCTACTGCCGCGAGCCCTAGCGGGGGCCGATGCCGACCCCGCCTTGTGGCTCCGCGGCCTCCCCTCTTCTGCTCTCACTACGCCCTCTTTTGAGCCATTGACTGGGAGGGACGGGTGGGAGTTTGTTGGTGAGGTGCGGGAGGGTTTGCCGACGTGGGAAGGTGCTCGTAATGGCGAGGGTGAGTTGTTTATTTTTGGCGACGGGTCTGGCGGAGCCTATTCCGACGACGTTAGGAGACGTCGCGTTGGCTCTGGCCTTGCTGCTCTTCGTTGGGACCCTCCCTCGGCCTCCTGGGCCCTCCACTCGGGCCTCCTTGCTCCCCTCCCAGGCCCCCGCCAGACCGTCCCAAGAGGAGAATTGTATGCGTTCTGCCTTGCACTAGAGACTTGCCATCAGGATTTCACCTATGTCACCGACCACCTAGCCTTGCAGCGTGGTTGGCAGAATGGTAGATGTCTCAGGCCAGGTAGCCTCAAAGGTAAGAATACGAATGGTGATCTCTGGCTGAGAATACGGCATCTCGTGCAGGATCGACCGCGTGGTGCTCTCTCGGTCACGGTGCTCTGGACCCCATCCCACGCCGATCCTCAGACCCTGCACGGCTTTCAGAAATTCCTAGCTCTCGGTAACCAGCAAGCCGACGAGCTCGCGGGAGACGCGGCCCACAAGTCGGCCACCCTAGCCCTCCCGCCCGTGCCCAGGACTGATGAATATGATGCTATCGCGGCGATCGTCCGCCAGCGGGCACGCCTAATTCTTCGTTCTTTCGGAAAAAATGCAGAGCCACGAGGTCTGTGGCCAGAGAGGCAACCCACTCAAGAGGCTGCCCCTCGTTCCCAGTTGCAGACCGCGATCGCGGATTCTCAGCACAAATTCGTTCGGTGTGTAGATAAATGGCGATGCTCCTCTTGTCACATTATTGTCGACGCTTGCCAGATAATTCCAGCTGCCGCAACGGAGTGTGTACCGCCTAGCCCCCTTCCTGAGTTTGCCGCGTGTGGTGAGGTCCTGTGGTCGAGGGGCCCCCGTGTGATCAGTGGCAAGGCGATACACCCCTCCCACGTGTTGGCCGCCATCCCCAGGTGGCAAATGTTCTTCTGTGTCAAGTGCGGCCATACGGCCACACACCAGGTCAAAAACTTACAATACCCCTGCCCTCTCACCCACCAAGTGGGAGAGCGCAGGGCCCTGGGACCCACTGGCAAAGGCCTCGAGAACCTCCGCAAGATCAGACGAGGCCTCCATCCGTCCAGATCGGGTCCCAGCAAGTCTGTTCTAGCCGCTATGCATGAATCGGCAGCCGAAGCCGCGATTGCGTCTCTCGCGGCTCCTAGCGGTGCCTCTGAGTAAATTGTGAGGCCAGGGGGGGCCTGTCGCGGTGTGCCGTGGGATGTCGCCACCCACGCCACTCCGAGAAATTCTGGATGGCCCTCCCTGGCGTCTCTTGTTTCCCGAACGGACTACGTCCGATTGCTCCACCTCCACCTCCTCCTCCTCCTCCTCCTCCTCCTCCTCCTCTTCGTCCTCCTCGTCCTCCTCCTCCTCGTCCTTCTCGTCCTCCTCCTCCTCCTCCTCCTCCTCCTCCTCGTCCTCCTCGTCCTCCTCGTCCTCCTCGTCCTCCTCGTCCTCCTCGTCCTCCTCGTCCTCCTCCTCCTCCTCCTCTCCTCCTCCATTTCCTCCTCCTCCTCCTCCTCCTCCTCCTCCTCCTCCTCCTCCTCCTCCTCGCGACGGACGCGTGCGTTTCGCGATTTACACAGGGAAAACGTCCCCCCTGAGACGCTCGCTCCGTCCGCCCCTCTTTCGCCCGCGCCCTCCCCCCGCTCCGCCTCTTGCACGGCGGCACAGCTCGCTCCAGCGGCATCCTCGTTCAGGCATCCATCGCCAGCGCAGACGGCCCCTGCCTAGCCGCCGACGCAACCAACAATTGTCGCGATGTTTCGCGACCCGCTTTCGTCGTTTTGATTCGGTTTCGCAGAAAAGGCGAAACGACGACAACAGGAGGGACAACGAACACCAAATGAGCACGAAGCACACATTCTTTTGGTCGAGCCCTGCTGCGGGGCATGCTCGAGTGGAGCGTCGCCGCTCGCGTCCGACAGCCGCCGCGCTGCTGCCAGGAAGTGCACATCGGGCGTTGCCTATTTATTGGGGGTGGCAGAAACGGGGGGGGCGAAGAAAGGTTCACCTTTCTCGTGCCCCTTCGAGGCCCTGGCCCCCTTCCTACAACCCTCTAGTCACCTCCCCTTGATCCCCCCCAGCACACCATCCATTTGGTGGCAACTCATGGGAGCCTCCCATACCATCTTGTCGGCTCTTGCTAATGGACGCTAACCGAGGCGAGTCGACGCTAATCGACGCTAAATCGACGCTGCAGATCGACGCTAGCCGACACTAAATCGGCGCCAGTTGTCTGATCGACTCCCAGACGCTAATCGACGCCAGTCGATGCTAATCGACGGAATTCAGAGGGTATGCCAGGCTCTCACGATTTGCTACCGAACAATAAGAGGCCACATGCGAACCTCACCCCACCACCCCACGATTTCTAAGGGGGGAGGTGTGGTTCCCTTCGCTCGGGAGGTCCCGAACGAAGTGAGCCCTACCTCCCCCCTTGGAAATCGTGGGGTGGTGAGGTGAGGTTCGCAGGTGGCCTCCTGGAACAAGACGCTCGAGGTCCGGGGACCGCTGCGACCGACTCCTCCTGCGACGTGCTCCCGAACGACACGGCCCCACACCGGCCAGGTACACGTCGTTCATTTCTGATCGTGCTCAGTGCTGACTGTGCTCGCCTCTCATTGTTCCTGGCCCCCTAGTGGCCGGGAAGAGGCCCAGGATAGAGCAAGCAGAAATGCGAGGATCTTCGCCCCCCCGCCAAAAAAATCAAAGAGTTCTCGAATACTCAGAAAGCAACACTCGATCGGGGTCGGCTCGGGGAGGGTGCCCTGATGTTCTTTGCGTTTGTTGGGTGTTCTTGTGCGCCCTGGGGAGGGCCCCCCTGGCTCTTCTGTGTGCTCTGGCCAGCAGAGGGTCTCACGTTCTGGAGGGATGTCCTCCTGGCCTAGAACCGAGTGTACCCCCACGCCAAAAAGATCAGAGAGTTCTCGAACACTCGATTCTGGAATACTCCGAAAGAGTTCTCGAACACTCAGTGTGTATGGCTCGCTCCGGGCGTGCCCCCCTCGCCCCTGGCGCGCGCTCGGGGGCCGGCCGGTCGCCTCCGGGACCGCCGGCCGCCGGCGGGCGGCCGGACATCGGCGGGGGGAGGCGGGGAGCGCCAGGGAGAGGATAGGGAGCCAGGCTCAAGTCGGGCCCGTCCCCCTGCAGGGGGATGTTCGACGACGAATCAAGCATACCCCAGAAAGAATCAAAAATGTTGTCCAAAAATAGTCTGGGGACTATGTTTTGCATATTTTTGGACCTCTTTGGGGCATATTTGGGGTATGTTTTTGATTTTTCGTCGAAAATCCCCCTGTAGGGGGACAGGCCCGACTGAAAGCCAGGCAGGGGCGAGGCCGGCTTCTCTTGCGGCCTCTCTTGGCCCTCGCGCCGAGAGGGGGAGGCCACTCCAGAGCAAGGAGCGGCGAGCCGTGGTGCGTTTTCCAGCGCCCTGGGCTTTTCAAGGCATGGCCCCCCAGCAAGACACGCGTCCTTCACGCCAGCTCAGCACACGGCTTGAGGAAAGCGATGCAAAACACATACGTTGCTCCGAAGAAAAGCTTGATCACACGAAGCGCGTGCATGTGGCGGAACTAGTCAAAGGAAAACGAGTAGTGCTCCCTCCGCTCTCTGCGCTCGATCTTCTGTTTCTCCTCGCTGCCCTCTACTGCCCGCTCTCTGATACTATGTGTTCTACCCTCCGTTCTCGATGATGTATCCACCCTTCTACGTTGGATCGGTATTGCCAAACCTCTCCTTCAGCTCCTGTCTGCTGTGCTCCCAACGTCATGCTCTCTGCTTGTGGACCTCCGTCCTGAACGCCCCGCCTTCCGCCCTCTACCCTGTGCTCTCTGCTGTGGCGCTCCCGAGGCCCCACGTGGAGCCGCGGGCCCCCGAAGCAGCGAGAGCCCCCGAAGCGCGCGCCCGGGAACCCCGGAACCCGGCCGCCTGCCGGAGCCCGGCCGAGCACACGGGCAGCGTCGGCACCAGGGACGCGAGCTGTAATGCGGGATGACGATTAATAAAAACATGGGAGAGAACGATTAAAACATAGTTTTCTGCTATTTCTGCATAATTTTCTGACTGGAGGAGAGCGATTTTTTTAACACAAAAAAAACATTGTTTTCCAGCCCGCGGCCGTTTTTTTCTAATCGTCATCCTGGGCGCCGCCGCGTGAACACGACCCCTGGTCATTTATTAATCGTCATCCTCCATTTCCCTCCATGAATGCAGACCTTCGTGAACGAACGACCGACCACCAATGCGGACAGCAGTCGGGGCCCACTGGAGACCAGGTGGATGAGGCCGTGGCCTCTGAAGTAATAGTGTGCATGGTGAGGCGTGCGTGCGAGACGTGTACGAAGTTCTGTGAAACGGAGGGGAGGGGAGGAGGGGGGCGGTGACGGAGCCAGGGCGGGGCAGGTTGGGGAGTGCGACTCGACAGCCCCCACGGGCGCGCAGGACAACAGCGGGCCAGTCAACGGGCCCCAGACGGCGCAGACGGCGGAGCTGACAGCCGCCCTCCAGGCGCTGAGCCTCGCTGCAGGGCCCGTGGAGGGGATCATCGACCCCCGATGTGTCAGCCACGGAATCGCCGCGCTCCGGGCGGGGTGAGTTGGGCTGGGAGCTGTTGCCCCCCTGCAGGTTCCTCCCTGCGCGAGGGGTCAAAAGGCATCTCGACGCTGCCAGCTCCTGGCCTCGAGACATGGTTGACGAGGACCACTCTGGCAACGCCGCGGGGACGACCGCTTGCGCGCCCTGGGCGGCGCGCAGCGGCTGCTGGCAGGTGTAAGGAGTTTGATCTGTCCTGGAGGTGGACCGCAGCAGCGCTGACGTGGCCCCGCGGGCCCGCCGACCGCAGCGCCGAGGCCGCGGCCAGCGGGCCGTGCACGGCGGCGACCAGGACCGACGCGCAGCCTTGTGAACGGGCCAGCCTGGCAGCTGCCCGCCGCCGCGCAAGGCCCCGACTGGGCGGCCTGCGTGCGCTGCGGGGCATCCGCGGCCACGCGGCCGCGGTTGGCGGCGGCGCCATGCGCGAGCCGCCGCGCTGCCGCAGCGAGAGGCGGCGATGATGCTGCTGCCCACGGTCTGGGTTAGCGGGCTCGAGGCCCACAGGCGCGCGGCGCTGCATGCGCGCTTGGTGCAGTGCCCGGGGCCGCTGGACCAGAATTCGAAATTCGGGCAAGCTGTGTGCGGGCTGCGAAACCCCCAGGCCCAAATCCCCCGTTTCCCAACATCCCCTCTTCGACCGCCTCTCCCTCTGCCTCTGGCTTGCTTCGCTAAGAAAAACGGTAGCGGGACATATTCTAAGGTAACGGGGGACGGCAAACTTGCACGCAATTAATCAAGGTTGAGAGGTCACTGCGGGCCTCAGCGTCAGTCTAGATCCAAACCCCGATAGAAACGAAGATCATCCGAGGATCCCACCCACGGTGAAACATTACTCCACCGCCCTACCGAACACCAGGCTACAAGTCTACTGGTGGGTTGCATGCCAATCGTTCGTTCGATTGGGGGCGAGGGGATATCTACTATTAGAGGCGGCCTCCTAGATCCTAGATGGGGTCGGAGGATCGCGCCGCATCGCCGATGCATCAGCGATGTATTGGCGATGCATCGGCGATGCACCGGCAAAGTCGGCGATGAACTGGCGACGTCGGCGTGGACAAACTCGGGCTCCACATCGAGCCGCATCGTCGATGCATCGGCGATGCGGCGCGAACCTCCGACCCCATCTACTCCGACCGCATCTGGGAGGCCTAGAACTATGAAGGTTTGGGCATGGTTATCCTACCAGCACTCCCACTCGAGTCATGGAAGAAGGCATCAGGCAACAAAGGTGCCACATATACGTGGTGGAGAATTTGAGGTGATAGATGGACGGGTGTGGAATGATGTCCGACCGATGAGGGGAGCCAGCTAGAGAAACATAGGCCGACTACAGTCCTACAATCGGCGCGCGTCTTTCGGCACATGTTGTGCACAGACGGGAGCGAGATCGCGATCGCGATCGCTGCCCTGCGCGCAAAAAAACACTTGCCACGATGAGAATTACCTCCCCCCTGTTGTAGCGAATCCTCCACTGAGGTCTCACGGCAGTGCCAGTCCTCCCCCTCCGCTTGGTGGCCAAAGAAGTTCACGCCGACGCATCAGCACCGCTGTGACAGCAGACCGGTGTCTGGGAGCAACGGCGGCGAGCGCAGGCAAGCAAAGCCCTCTCACGGGCGCGGGCGCCCCCCCCGTGGCCCCCTGCCCCCCCCCCCATTCTGATACGAGGGGCCGCGAGACGGCGACGAATCGCCCACGGCACCGGCCAGGAGGCGGGGAACGACACGAGGCTCTCGCCATCGCTCGGACGTCCATTCCCTGGGTTTTTTTTCGGTTTCGTGCGTTGTTTTTTCGCCAAATGGTCAAGGATGCTCCTCGATGGTCCTCGCCGAAGGAAACATGCACACGTCCGAGCGATGCCAAGGGCGGGGCTCCCCTGCGGCGGACCACTCGGATGCCGGGACCTGCTGGCGACACACGTGCGGCGAGCCCCCGCGCCTGGCAGTGCACGAGGGCCAGGCACCAGCACAGGAGGTGGAGGCGCGGGACCCGCGTGGCGCCATCGAGCGGCCGGTGGCAAAAAAAGCTCCCCGCCGCCAGCCCCGTCTGAAGCTGACTACCTGCCAGACCACCCCAACCCAACCCGAAGACCCGAATTTCGGGTTGGGGGGGGGTAAGGGTTCCACCGGTGTTTTTTCGATGTTTCCCGACCCCCCCCCCCACCACTGGAAATCGAGGGTAAATCTGGGCCTTCGGGTTGGGTTGGGGTGGTTTGGTGGGTGGTGAGAAGCACGGTAGCGGTCTGAGGGGTAAGCGTCTGACTCTCGACCTGTCCACGGCTGCGCTCCACAGGTGGATTTCGAGGCGGATCCCGCCGTGGCCCGGGGAGGCACCCCACCGTCCAGAGGCCTGGACTCTAGCACCCCGATGCTCGCCATGGCAAGACCACCTTCTCAGGAATCCAACGCGCATGATAAGGATGCGCGTTGAGGGAGCAAGCCCTTGGAACGCCCGAGTTGAAGGTTTTCGAGGTTCCAGGATGCTGGGACACACACACACACATGGCTGGATTCACTTATGTGGAGCATCGGGAAGCCACTTCCTGGATACACATATGGACGATCACCAAGCGTGGCCACACGAGGGCCGAACGTTGGAAAGACATGTGGCCACGTGTGTATCCAGCTCACCCAGGCCGACCCCGTCATGTGTATCCAACTTCCTGGTAAGACTTGGTTTAGACTGAGCAGGAGAGGCAAACCTGAGGTCGTTCGCAGCACGTCACACTTTCCGCGTCTTCAACGTGAGGGGCCCGGTCTGAGAGGCCCTGGGGGGTCGCAACATGTCCTGGAGCCGGCGGGAATGAACCAACTGTGCAATCACAGCTGGAGAGCTCTTTGTAGAGGGCAGGAGACCCAACGTCTTTTCCAGCACCTCTACAAGGGAGAAACCTTAGAGCACACGTGCCTAAGGCACGCACGGAACAGGGCGGGACTGTTTAGTAAACGCTCAGGGCTTTCTGGTAAACGCCAGTTTGGGGGGCCAGGGTTAGGAGACCGATTTCTGACCACACCCACTTCCCGAGGTGCCTTGCGAAAAGCGGTTTCCAGAGGAGGTGGGCAGTTTCCCCGCCCCAGGGGAAGGAAAAACTACCCACTTCCACCCCCGAGGGCCTATCATAGAATCGAGGATCCAGAGGTGGATGTGGTCAGAAATCGGTCTTCGAAGGGTGACGACCTCCCCCTACCACCTCCGAGCAGCTGCCGACAACCCGCGGCTCCACGGAGCTCTCCCGGTGTGCTGTCCGACCCGCACTCCGCGGAGACTCGGGCCATGGCGACGAGGGCCCTCCGGGCCGAGCAGTGGCATCTGGGCGGCGAGCGAGGGGGGGAATGAAAAAGGAGAAGGCCTTCTCAGAAGGCCGCGGGACTTCTCCGAAGCCCTCGCGCCTGCTGAGAAGTTCCCTGCGTCTGCGGGGAAGGCTCCGAAAACTTCTCAGAAGGCTGGGGGGCTTCCGAGCCTTCTGAGAAGGCCCGCCCCTTCTCGGACGCATGGTGGCCTTTCGGTCACAGCCTGGCTCTCTGGTGGCCGTTCGGGGCGATCCGGCCACCCCCGGAACGCCCTCGGCGAGGCGCAGCTGCTGGAGTGCATCCCGAGGCTGGAAGGCTGCCGAGCACCGACGGCGACGCCCGAAAAGCCTCAGGCCTGGAACCCGACACGCCGGCAACCTCCGCCGCGTCTCGGTGTCCTCTCCTACCCCGCCCCTCGCCGCCGCCTCCGCGGGCCCTGCGTTCCGACCCCCCTGGGGCAAGCGTGCGAGGGGGCACCGCGCGGGGCGGAGCCGCCGCGCCGTTCGGGTCGGGCGAAAGGGGGGGATAGCAAAAGGGGGGTTTGAGGATCAGCTCACGTAGCTGATTCTCCCGGCGCCTCCCGGTGCCGGAGGCGGCTATGTATCGAGGAATCGGCCCCTCGGTGAGGCCGAAACCAGCTGCATGCAGCAAATTTCGTACCCCCCCCTTTCCCAATCCCTCCCTTTCGTCCGGCCCGAGCCTCGCGGGCGGGGCGCGGCGCCGCTCGCGCCGCCCGTGCCGCGCTCAGGCCGCAGGGGGCACGCAGCCCGCCTCGGCCACTGGAGCGTCGCGCGCGGCGCCGACCAGCCTGAGGATTCCCGTTGTTGTTGTGTTTGTTATGTGCATGATTCGCTTATTCTTTGTATTATGGCTGATAGTATTGTTTTTGTTATGAATATCGTTATTATTAACATTATTATTATCATTATTGTTCTTCGTGTGATTCTTAAGGTGTTTCGTTATATCCGTTTTCTTCTTGTTCCTTTTCAGGAGAGAGAAGCTTCACGAGGCTACCCTAGAGCTCCACTGCACGGCATGAAGGAATGCGCAGAATTGGCGGGACTCTCACTTGTACCTGCACCTGCACCACCGTAGCATCTCTGGGGATGCGTTTTCCAAAGTGATTGCTTCAGCAAGGAGAGAAATGATCGGGTCCCTCTGGCTAATTAGGGCTAATGCGCTTACTGGACATGCTTGTCCTACATGTATGCACGTAGCAGCCCGCAGCTTGCGGATGAGAATGAGGGGGTGGCGGGGGCCGTCAGCATCTCGAGGCTCTGAAGCACACAGCACGACGACCTCGCCGCAAGCGCCAAACTTCCATCAAAGCAATGTGGGCGGGTCGCGGGTGGGTCGCGGGGTTGGTTGCAGGCGGGTCGCGGGCGAGGACGACGACGACAACAACAATCAGTTTAAGACTGTTCAGTTTGCAACGCTCGCGTGTCGTCATGTAAAACGTATACCCCAAACCCTCGGTATCCGCCCACTTCGTCTTCAAGCAGAAAACAGGAACAGGAGGAGGAGGAGAAGGAGACAGGAGTGAGTGGAGAAGGAGGAGGATATTGCGGCGAAGTGAAAAGAGAAAGATGCGGACGGAGAGTGTGAAACAAACGAGGGCGAGGAATGAGGAGGAAAGAAGTGGGAAACATTGAGCACAAGGTAAACGGCATGATGCTGGAGGGGGGGCGAGCGTATCCATATAGCGGTTTTAAAATTATAAGCATAGATGGAAACACTGATATTCGGGATATTGGGAGAAGAGGGAGGAAGAGGCACCCGGGAACCTGATGCTGGACGCCCGGACGACCCCCACGGCGGACTTGAAGCGCCGGGCTCCGCACTGCTTCGTCAGTCTCTGCTCCTCTGGGAGGACAGCGCAACCCACATGGACATACACTTCTTCGGAAGTGCGCGCGGACCTCCAGAACATTGTTTTGTGTTCATGTGGGAGGTCGGGAAGCCCTGAATCAGAAAATGCGGTCAAATCTGAAATCGTATCTATTACTACCGCCGGCTTCCGCCGGCTTCTGCGGACGGAGCCGCCATCGTTTTACTTCCGCCGCCTTCCACTGCCTTCCTCTGAGGAAGAAATTTCAACCTCTCGATCTCTCGAAGGTGGGGCCCCTTCTGGAACGCCCCATGTGTTTCTTGGCTGCTCTTCGAGCTCCAGGTCGTGCGCCAGGGCGTGCTTCTGCTCCACGCTCATGACGTCGATGCCGGGAAGCAGCTGCAGCGACAGCATGTGGCGCTGCTCCTCGTCCGTGTCCGCGGGGCCTTCGGGCGCGCCCCTCGCAGAGGAGGTGCCGGGCCTGGACTCGTTCTTGGCGGCCGCGACCTTCATGGCCTGGAAGAGCGTCTTGCTCTCCTGCCCCTTGGGCGACACGCCCGATTGCTGTCTCCGCCTCTCCGTCCATATCGCGTTCTGCGCGCTCATGTTGGTCCTCTTGGGGGTCCCAACACCGTGTGGTGACAGACCCGGCGACGACCTCGACATCCACACAGACCTCACCGCAGGGTCCGTCACCACACGGTTTTGGGACCTCGGAGGCCCCAGCCGGCCGAGACGTCCTCGGAGATCGACCCAAGCCCCAAAACCGTGCGGTAACCCCGAATCCCCACCGACTCACCACACCGTGTGGCCACCACCCCGCTTGGGGGCCCCCGGGTCCTTGCGCGCCGCGCCACGTCGGCCGGGACCAGGTACCCCCGCTGCAGGTCGTCCCGGATGCTCTCCGCCAGGCGCTGGTGGAAGCCTTCCAACGGCAGGGCGCCGCCGGGCAGGCCGCCCGACACGAGCACCTCGTGGGGGGGAAAAAAAGATACGGGCCTCGGGAGAACTTAGCGAACACTCATGCAACCTTCATGTGTCGATGCCCTTCCCCCCATTGATCAATGTTGGCGGAAGGTTGGATGAGTTGATCTTCGACCGCAGGCTCCCCGCGCGTGCCCACTTCGAGTTTTGGGGGGCGGGGGAGTGTCCAGCCGTGGCGACGAATGACGGGCAGCGGTATCGGGTGCGCCGAAAGGGGGGCCCGGAAGCGGGGCGGGGGGGGGCGCATGGTGGCCCGAGGCATGTGCCAGCAGGAGTTGTGGCCAGGGAGCGTGCAGAAACAAGAGCTGGGGCCTTGAAATCTACAGGAGGTGCCATGGCACCGGCCGTGATGTCCACCCCTCCCCCTAGTCCTCACCCCCGTCGTGGACGTCCCCAAGGGTACCTTTGGAGATCTACTGACCCGGGTCAAGGCAGATCCGGGTCAGTCAGGCCTTGCAGAACCCTGCAAGAATCTGCAAGATCCTGCAGGATCCTGCACCCGAGCCCGGGCCGGTGCACCTCCGGCCCTGCAGGATTCTGCAAGATCCAGCGCTCTGACTGACCCCCGCTTGCATGGACCCCCATCCCTTGAGCCCCGATGCCTGTAGCAGTATCTTTCCCTCCCCGGAACCCTGGTCATGCGGTCGCGCGCCTCGCGCCACAGCCTCGGATTCTGCAGCCCGCACACCGCCTGCGCCTGCGGCGGCGCCGCGGGGGCGCCGGCTTGGAGGAACGAGATGCGCGGGCGCGCCCGGTGCTGCTGCCGGGGCGACGGCGTCGCCGGGGGGCCTGTGCCGCAGAAGGCGCCGCAGGACACAGCCGCCGTGCCTGGGCCCCAGCAGGGCCATCCACTGGGCGCCCCGGCACGGCGTGTGCGCCCTCCCGAAAGAGGGCTCCACCAACGGGCGCTTTGGCCAGCGACGGGGCAGGACCCAACCCTGCCCCGATGCGGCCCAGGTTGCAGTGCCCGGCAAAGGCCCTAAAGTGGCAATGCGCGGCTGGTTTCCAGACAGTGCCCGGCAGGGGGGTAACTATACCCACTGTGGCTCAGGAAGGTCTGCACACCGTTCCGGGGGCCAGGATGGCCCTGGCCAGGCACGGCGGCGGCGTCTGGAACGCCCTCCGCGGAGGCCTAGCTCGCGCGCGCGAGGCAGCGCCGCAGCGTCGCCCTCCTGCTCGCCCGCCCCGCCCGTGCCCGTCGTCTTCTCCCTGGCCACGCGAGGAGCGCCGCGTCGGCGCTCGGAGGGGCGGAAGAGGCGCGCCGTGAGCTGCTCGAAGTGCCTGCGCTCGTTCGAGAAGGTGTGGAACTGCCGCCTGGCGTGGCCCTCCTGCTCGGATGGGTGCTGATGGTGCTCCTGCCCGTCTCCCTTTGTTCTTGCAGCGCGGAGCGCGACGCCCTCGGATCCCAAGTGAGGCACGCATCACGGCAACCACAAATACCGAGCACTACGACAAGAGCATCCTGACACGGGAAAGCCCCCACGGAGGCACTCGAGAGGAGGCAAGGAAGGACCCGCAGGGAGACGAGGATGACGAGGAGGAGGCGGAGGAGGAGCGACAAGGTGGAGGAGGCGGAGGGGCTGCTCTCGCTGCTGCTGCCCCGTGGCAGTCTTAAGGATTTTGATGTCCCTGGGCTTGCGCTGGAACTTCCACAATGTATACATGTCTTTCTTGCTATATCGGTACATGCGGATGTACCTCGACCTGTGAGAACCTACTTCGGTTGAAGTAGATTTGCCTCAATCATCTGGCGGGTTCCCCACGTGTCGATAGGAGAAATCGTGAGTGACACTATTCTCATCATTTCGCTGGTGCTGTTCCTCCTTTTCCTGCTGACGATGCTCCGCCTCCTCCTGCTCATCCTCCTTCTCCTCCGGCTCCTGCTGCTGCTGCTCCTTCTTCTCCTCATCATTCTCCTCCTACCCATCCTCCTTTTGCTGCTGCTGTTCCTCCTCCTGGCATCCGCCCGCCTTCCTCTGACCACCCCGCGAAGCGAAGGTTTCCTCCTTCTACTCCTCCACTTCCTCCTTTTCCGCCCCCTCCCCCCTCGCCCCCCCCCCCCCACCCGTCGCCATCATTTTCCCCATTGCGCGCGCGCGCGCTTCCCAGCACGTGCACGGGGAGCACGGGAGGAGGATGAAGGACGGATGAACCAGGAGGGGGTGAAGAGTAGCGGGAGGAGGAATGATAGGAGCGGGAGCCAGTCGCGGCAATCCACCTCTGATGAATCCGCTGCCGCGCATGCCGAGCTGCCAGAGCCAGCGCGGCTTCAGGTCGCACACAATGGGCATTGTCTCATTGGCCCTTGCAGTATTGCCTAAGCCGCCTTGAGCGGTGCAACGATGCAAATTGAGGGGATCGTGGAACGATTTGCGATTACTGTTGGTGGAGGAGGACAGCGACATACCGCGCGTGTCGACCCCTGCGAACGCATTCACCGCCAAGACCTTGGCCCTCGGCACGTTTTCAATCAAGTTCGACGGACATCGGTACATTAGCCACAATAGGGCTCAGGATAGTTATAAGAACTGAGGCCCTGTGCACTGTAGGCCTTCGTCAAGGGCCTCACGTGCCCTTTGGGATCAGGAGGCGGGGAAGGCGGGAGCGGAAGGCAGGAAAGCGCAGGAGCGGGCGGGACCGACAACGGGCAGATTTTTGTTAAGCTCCACGGCTATGAGTCCCCAGATGAAGGGGACCATCTCGGGCAGAACAAATCGCAGTGCGACTCCTCCGCAGGAGCCACGGCCCAGCGGCCACGGCGAGAAACTGAACACCGAATGCGACACTCGCCCGCCGCACAGCGCTTGCGCCGCACAGCCACGCGGGCATGGCCGCGGACATCGCGGCGAGGGCGCACTCCCGGCCTCCCCCGAGTGGGCGGCGAGCGGCGGACGGGGCCTGGGGACCCCGCGCTGAGAGGAAGTACCCCAGAAGGGGGGGGGGCAGGTAACCAACCCCCGATGCGCGACCACAGCCGGCTCCGCCCGTCCTGCGGCCTGGTCCCCGGCCCAACATGTGTACACCGCCGATGCGGGCGGCGCCCACTGCCCCACCGGCTCCGCCAGTGAGGGGTGCCCCGGCTATTCCCGAGTCGTTGACGGGGCCCCTGCTATCCAAGCAGGGGCGGACGCGGCAGCAGGAAGAAGATGAGCAGGAGCACGAGGAGGAAACGAGTTCACCACGGCTCCCGAGTCTATGGTGGCCCTGGGGGGCGCCGCTGTAGCGGCGTCCCTGGCCGCGATGCTGCTCACCGGGGCATGGCCAAGAGGACGTGGTGGTGAAGTGGCGCAGTGCTGAAAGTGGGACCTCCCTCCCGCCTACCCACGCTCCCCTCCCCCCCTCCTTCCCTCCTCCATCGTGCTGCCACTCAGGCCACTTCATCCATTATGCACACTCATCATTGTTCCTAGGTTCATGGCTTTCTTTCTGCTGTCACTGTTTCTTATCATTTTCAGTTTTCCTCCGCGCCCTCCTCCTTCCCCTCACTCTCCCTCATCCCCCCATGCCGGTTCTCCTCCATCGCATTATTCCGACTCTCCCCCCGCGTCCTCTTTCTGCTCCTTCAACCTCGGCTCCCCCTCACATCTTGTGTGCCTCCCCCTCCTCCATCGCGTCCTGCTCTGGCTGCTCTGGTTCATTTCCTGTCCCGTCTGTTCCCTTTCCAACATCGTTGTCGGCGTCGTCGTCGTCTTCCTCCTCCTGCTCCTCCTCCTCCTGCTCCTCCATTTCCTCCTCCTCCTCCACCTCCTCCTCTTCCTCCTCCTCATCACCATCATCATCACCATCATCAGCATCATCAGCATCATCAGCAGCATCATCTGCATCGTTAGCATCAGCATCATCATCACTATCACCATCACCATCACCATCATCATCACCATCATCACCATCATCACCAACACCATCACCATCATCATCACCATCACCATCATCATCATCGCCGCCATCACCATCACCATCATCACCACCAACATCAACATCATCGCCATCCCTATCATCACCACCACCATCATCCGCCTCAGCATCCGCCTCAGCATCATCATCATATTCATCATCAACACCATCACCATCACAATCACCATCATCATGATGATCATCATCGTCATCATCATCAGAATCATCATCGTCATCTTCCTTCGGCGGCGCCCCAGGGAATCTCCTCCCGCTCGGACGTGTGCTGGAGCAGGCGGGTGAAGGCGCTGCAGGTCACCTGACGCTGCGAGCGGGAGCCTAGGATCGACCTACCAGCCGAGAGTCTGGGCCTCCAGCCCACCCCATTGGCTACGGGGAGGAGGAGGAGGAGGAGGAGGAGGAGGAGGAGGAGGAAATCGCGTCGCCGCATGTTCCATTGCAGTTCGACGTGTCCCGCTGTTTCCGTCTCGGGTTTCGGCGGCGTCGCATCGGCGGGCGCATCCCGATGTTTTCTCCTGGCGCTCAGGGCGAGCAAAATCCATTGCACCAAGAAGGGTTCGTATTAATCAAGCAGAGCCCCGACCGCGGCCACCACACCGAAGTCAGCGGTTCAAAGATGGGGGCCCAAAAGATTGGGGCACCAACTTTGAACCGCCAAGCAAGATTTGATGACGGGCCTGGGCGCACCAAGTACGGACAGGATGCAGGAGGAGGTCAGGGGGGAGCGAGTCAGGTGGAGTCGAAGCAAGAGAAGGCGGTGCAGCAAGAAGAAAACGACAGAGGGGGAGAGAGAGAGCGGATGGAGAATGAGAAGGACGATGTACGAAGATCAGAAGAAGGAGCTGGGAGGAGGAATCGTGGTGGTAGAGGAACATCAGGAAGCGGCGAGAGAGAGAGAGAGAGAGAGAGAGAGAAAAAAAAAAGAAGAGAGAGAGAGAGAGAGATGACAACACTTTTTACAAGCGCGAAGAAGCCCCAGTGGCAAGGGGGACAGGGAAGGGGGGTAGGGGGAGAAAAGGACAAAGCAGCTCAGCCCGGAGCTGCTGCACGAATTAGCCCTAGTCGTGCGGCCCAGCCAGCGTCGCTAGCCGCCGGCGCAGCGCGGCGCGCCAAGCCGCTTCGGGCCCCCTGGCCCTCCCCGCAGGTACCAGCACCAGCGCAGCGGCGCGAGGCGGCAGCGAAACAGCCCAGCCAAGGCGTGGCGGGGCCGCCAGCACCTGCCAGCGTGGAGCCGCCGCGCCGCACTGGAGGCAGGCGACCCAGCCGGGGCCTTGCGAGGCTACGTGCGGCGCCCAGGCGCCACCTCCGAAAAGGGCCATGGCGGCCTCAGCTGCGCCTCGCTGCGGCGGGCCTTGCCCCTGTGCCCACGGCCGCCGGGGGCGCGGAGGCGGCCGCCCGGCGGGCTCGCCAGCCGCTGCCGTGCGAACTGGTGCGCCCGCTGAGACCCGCCGTGTCGGCGCTCCCGCCCAGCGTCGGCGCGCTCGAGGGCCGCCCAGCCCCTTGCTCTCGTGGTTCGCCCGCATCGCGGCCAGCTCCACGGCCGCCAGCACCCGCTGGAGCAAGAGCGCGTGCAGCTGCACCTGCCTCTGCGCGCAGAGCCGACGCGGGGAGCTGGGCGCGCGCCGCGGCCCCCGCCAGCACGTCGGCCTCCGCTCTGCCAGCGCGGCCCTCCGGGGCCACGACCGAGGCCGCCGCGGCAGCCTCGTCAATGTGCCCTTTTTACCCAACGCGCGGTGACGTAGCCGCTCTGGCAATGCGGCGTCAGGATCACCCACAGGCCCGCATGCGTCCACTCGAGGGGGCGCGCGCCGGCGAGCAGCGCGGCGATCCCGTGGCACACGTATTTTGAATCGGAGATCAGCTCCAAGGGGGCCCCAGCCTCGCTGACGGCGCGCACGGCCGCCGGTGAGCTCCGCACGTTGCGCGGCCTGGGCCCCGCCGACGCGCGAGGCAGCGCCGCGCCTCGCCGGCGGCCCCCACCGGGCCCGGGCCAGCAACGGATCAGTGGGGTGCTCGCAAGCGCCGTCGCTCCACGCCCGCACGCGGACCTGCCCAGGGCCCGCGACCTGGGGCGGCAGCGGGGGCGGCGGCTGCTGCTGCTGGGCCTGCGCGGCGAGCGCGGCTAGGCGAGCGTCCTTTGGCAGCGCGCCAGTGAGCGCGACCCCAGGGGCAGGCGAGCCAGCAGGGCGGCCTCGCTTAAGCCGCCCGCCCGCAACTCGGCGCGGCGGACCTGGCTCCACTTGGGGCACTTCCAGAAGCGGTGCTCGCGCGTCTCGTCCGAGGCGCCGCAGCGCGGGCAGCGCGAGGGCCGGCCCCACTTCACGGCCACCGTCTCGGTGACGACGTTGCCCGTGAGGACCGCGCGCAGGGCGCCAGCCGCGTCCGGCGCGAGCTCATCGCTCTCCAGCAGGCGCGGGTTGGCCTATCGGTCGAACCCGTTCGCGACGTGCCCGAGGTCGGCGCGCCGCCAAGCCACCGCGCGCGCCTCGCGCCGCGTTTATACGCCCAGCAGGGCCGCGCGGGTGTCTTGCAGCGGGCGGTCGCGCGGCCGCCAGCCGCCGGGGGCCCGTAGCACGCCCTCACAACGCGCGATGCCGCCGCCGAAGCCGAGTTCGGCCATGCTGCGCCGCGCGGCCGCAAAGGGCCCCTGCTGGCGGCGGCCGTGGCCTGCGCCCACTGCACCTGCAAGGTCCCGCCAGAGCTCGAGCGGCAAGCGCCGGCGGCGCAGCGCCTTCGCCGCCTGCCACAGCGGGGCAAGGGTAGCGACCGCGGCGGGGTCGAGGCGCCAGCTCGGGCTCAGCACGCCAAAACCGATTTCGGTAGCAGCCCGAAGCCTGCCCCGGCAGACGGCCTGCCGCGCGGCCGACCGCAGGCTGGCCAACTCGCGCGCCGCGCGCGAGTTGGCCAGGCTCCCGCGCCGCGGGAGGTCGGCGACACGAGGCGCCGTGCATAGCAGCAGCAGTGCCGGCCGCCGCGCCGAGCAAGCAGCGTTGCCGGAAGCCAGCCGGCAGCTTGGCGATGCGGGAGAACCGCCCCGCCGCCACCCGAGTCCGCGCGCCAGTCACCGCGCAGCGGCGGCCTCTCCCTGCGGTGGACGCGACGCCAAGGTCACGGATTCCACAGCTGGCAGCAACACTTGGGGTTTGCGAGCGAAGCCAGCGGCGGATACAGGCTGTGTTCGCGAACTGGCGGCTCTCGTCCCTGTTGAGACGCCAGTCCATGGCGGTCTCGAACTCCGCCGTTAACCGCAACGCCTCGCGCACGGCCTCCCCGACCTCGGCCGCCTCGCGCCCAGTGCCGCGCGCCCAGGGAGTGAAGTCGTGGACGTATAAGCCCTCTGCTGGAGGCGGCCGTCGAGCCTGCCGCATCGCCGCTGCCAAGGCCAAGCCATCACGCCGAGGAAGAAGACGGCCATAGGGGGGCATCCTGGCAGCATGCCGCTGACGGCGCCCATGGCTCGCCGATCGCCCGGCCAGCCCCCACGCGCCGCTGCGCCGAGTAGTAGGCCGCCATGGCTGGCGCCACCACCCAGCGCGGCATCCTGGCCCGCTGGAGGACGGCAGGGAGCGAGTTGAGCCCAACATGGTCGTAGGCCTGGCGCCAATCCAGGGCCGCGCCGGCGACGGTCTCCCCCAGGGCCTCCGCCGCCTCGAGCTCCAGCGCGAGTTCCCGAGCGAGCTCTTCCGCGCCGCGCCAAGCGTCGGCGCCGCCCCAGCTCAGCCGCCACTGCGCGAACAGGCGCGCGCGCCCCACCGCCCTCATGCGGTACAGAATGGGCAGCAGCCATATGGGACGTCTGTCTAGAAGACGAGAGTAGGAAGACCAGAAGGAGTTGGGAGGAGGAATCCTGGTGGTAGAGGAACATCAGGAAGCGGCGAGAGAGAGAGAGAGGGCAACACAACAAACAAACATTTTAGGGATGAGGGGGATGAGGAAAAGGGAGAGAAGGAGAAAGGGCAGGAACGACAATCGAGACACTCCCGCCACCACACACACGCGCACACGCACACACATTTGTATCAGCTATTTCTTGACCGCTGTTCCAATGTCTTCGCTTCGCAAAGACATGTTTGGTGTTCGTGCTGCCCCCCCTGGCTTCCCCGATGGCTCGAGGCACAACCAGCTGGGCATCCGTGCCCAGCCAGACGAGGGCCGCACGCTGGAACACACACACACACACACACACACAAGCGGCGTACATGTTACCCCCGGGTCAGCCGCATGAGGTGCTGGCAAACCTGGACGACCCTCCTTCGGGTGATAAGGAGGTTCGGGGGGAGGGGCCAACGTCTCACTAAATCGATCTCACGATCGATCTTACTACCGATCCCACTATCGATCTCACTATCAACGATCGATCTCCACATCGATATCACCATCGATATTGCAGTCGATCTCATTTTCGATCTCACTATCGATCTCACTATCGGTATCACTATCGATCTCGCTATCGATGCCACCATCGATCTCACTATCGATCTCAATCTCTGGCCCACTATCGATCTCACTATCGATCTCGCATTGACGGGACACCGACTCACAGGACACCGACGGGACACTGACAAGACACCGACGGAACACCGAAGGGCCACCACGGGACAGAATCGGGACACCACGGCAGGACCCCCCCGGCCACCGCCGGCCAACCGGGAGGAGGGCGGTCTTTTGACCCAGCGGCGCCCTGGCCAAAGGAGGGTTCATTCCCCCCGCCCGCCCACGCAGCGTCGCCTCGCCCGCACGCACGGCACGAACACGAAACCGAAACAGATTTCCTGTTGGGGGGCTGCCCGTCTCACTGCGATCTCACCCCATCGCCTCCGACTCCTGGATCCCCTCCCTGCAGGCGCCGAGAAAGACGAAAAAAAACTCGTGGCCCCAGCCGGCGGAACTGTCCCCGCTTCACTGCCGCCGCCTGCCACCGGACTTCCGCCGGCTCTCCGCCGACGGCGACGATGCGCCGAAGCCGAGGCCTCCCCTGGCGCGCTCGTCGACCGTGGTCCTCAGACGGGCGCGCGGGGGGGGGGGCGCGGGCACACCCGAAGGGCCCAAGGCACGTGGGCGCGGACCGTCTCTCCGCGCACGGGCAGCACGCCCAGCAGCTGGGCCTCGCCTCGGGTGGCCCGGGAGCCGCTGGTCTCAGACTGTCGCGGCCGCCGTCGTCGACGCCGTCGGCCGCGCCGCCACGTAGTCGCCGCGGCCGTGGTCGACGCCATCGCGGCCGCCAGTGTCGCCGTCACCAGTGTCATGGTCGTCACTGCCACCGTCGTGATCGTCGTTGTCGCCACCGCCGCTGTCCTCTT